GAGCACAGGCGTGCTCGAAATATTCGAAATAAAAAATTATCTTATGTCTATTATGTCAACGTATACGACTCTACTTTGTGCATTCGTACTCATTTTATATATATATTGTATATATGTATGTGTATCAGGGTTCGAAATAACGCTGGTCCGCCGGCCAATGGCTAGTAAAATGCATGGCGGACCTGTTAATTATCCCAATAACAAGTCCGCGTGACCAGTTAAAATGTCAATGAAAGTCTGACGAAATACCTAAAGCTTTAATCACTCACCTCTTAACGATGTCTTTACAAAATATTTCACACAGATAATGTCAACAAGATCGCTATTTTCTGTTTATTGTCATGTTAATGTCCGCTATGAACAGCCTCGGTCTCAGTCATTCAAGGCGAACCGATGAACATCACGCACTAGCCTAGATCATAGAGAGGAATCCATGACTAGGCTAGACGTACAGAGGGAAATCACCTTCTCCGCATGTATAGCGACAAGGAGAAGTTGATTTCCGTCTGCGTGAGCACCGTGAAGTTAAAACATCCATGTCATGTATCCATCCCACAATGCACCGTGGGACAAAAAGTTAATAAACAACGCAACGATTTCCAGACGAAATGAACTGTTCGTACAGTCCCAATAGCATTGCCATGGAGATTATCTATTAATTAAAACGACACGCCAGTAAAATGTTAGATAAAGCAGGGAGTTGGATAAAGTCAAAGTTACACCTTCCATTGTTTTAATAAAGTGCATTCTCGCCTATATGAATACCTGTCTCTTATACACATCTAGATGTGTATAAGAGACAGGACATATGAGAATTCAAAATTTAATCAATTTAAACGGCCTACAATTACAATAATTCATAAAAAATTGTTATAAATTTACAAGTCTCATTATATTATGCATAGTATTAATAAGGTACTGTACTGGAAAGGTAATCTTGTATTCATTATTGAACATAAGAAAATGAGCTGTTACTGTAGCCCATCACACTAAACTTCAGCATTTTGTGTTTGTATGTAGATGGCATTATATATTGGCAAAGATAATAATATACAGTATCTATATATCAGTGGAAAGGCCATTTTCAAGATTTAAAAAATAATGATTGTTATAACCTTGTTTTTTCAATGAATGTGATATTAAGTGGTGATAAACACTAGAATTAGGCAAGGCCATACTATATTTTTTGCTGACCAACTGATTTTTTTCAAAAGTTAACCCTTACGCTGCCATCTTCCTATAAATGCGAACATCGCACAGTTGGTGTGCATGCTAGTTTCGCATAAAAAATGCAATTAGGCTCACTGTCGGCCCGTACGCCACCTTCGCATAATTGCGAATTGGTGAAGGTCTTCAAAAAAACGACCATAGAGCGGCTGTTTTAACACTAACCCAAATAGTGTTTACTGCATATGAAAGCTAATGAATTTCTGCACATTTTGATGTGAAACTTGCTGAGTGTTGTTTTGTTAGAAGTTTGAGTTTTTGCAAGTTGAATATATGATGTTTTGAAATGTTGAGAAACTTTATTCTTCGATATTATTGAGCAAATAATATACACTAACAAAAATAAGCAATACGGTGACCTTGTTAAATAATTAGCTGGCACCTGTCTCTTATACACATCTAGATGTGTATAAGAGACAGCAGTACTGTACACATTCAATGTTTTTAATTTCTAACATTATAAAACTACTGTATTTTAAGTAAATATACGTAGGCCTAGGATTCGTTATTTTCAGAAATAAAAGCATCTACCGCAGGGTTTAAGCTGTCGCTCGCCAAATCCGAACGGGAGTCGAATGCTGACAGGCTGTCAGCATCTATTTCCCGATATTTAAAAGTGCCAAAAAAGTTAAACACTTCTTGGCGAGGGCAGGGTGCTCTTGGACCCCACTAACTTTAAATCATGTATCCATAGAATGGGGTAGCAATTTCAAAACCAAATGTTTTAAGTGCACACCCCCCCCCAATCCCCAAAAGGCCGGACCACTTTCAAAATGCTTCCAACGGCTATGTTCTCCATGACCAGTCGGTGGCTGACCTATATCCACTCATGATTTCTCTATTTGATTTCATGATATCTCTGCCTATGTCAACTGTCGATTGTGAGAGAGGGTTTAGTGCAATGAACCTAACAAAAATGAGCCTTAGGAACAAGATGACTGTTCAAAATCTAAGTACTTTATTAATGATATCGATAAATGGAGTTGATAGGCGCAACTTTAATTTTGACAAGGCTTTCAGTATTTGGTGTTCCACTAGGGAACGACGTGTTGTAAATAAACTGTAAATAAATAATTGTTGTTAATAGAAGAACATACCTTGTAAGTAGTGATCATGGTATATTCATCATTATGATGTAGGAAGTCGTCATTGAAACCTTTTGTAAATAGTTTTGTGTAAAAATAGTATGCTGAGAATTATAGAGCAAATCTTGAAAATATTTAGTTTATAAATATTTTATTGTTTCTTCATTTTAAGTACTTTATTAATGATATCGATAAATGGAGTTGATAGGCACAACTTTAATTTTGACAAGGCTTTCAGTATTTGGTGTTCCACTAGGGAACGACGTGTTGTAAATAAACTGTAAATAAAGAATTGCTGTTAATAGAAGAACATACCTTGTAAGTAGTGATGGTGTGGAATATACAATGAATCATTGTATATTCATCATTATGATGTAGGAAGTCGTCATTGAAAACTTTTGTAAATAGTTTTGTGTAAAAATAGTATGCTGAAAATTATAGAGCAAATCTTGAAAATATTTAATTTATAAATAGTTTATTGTTTCTTCATTTTTTGTCATTATTTTAGTTTGGCTAATCAAAAATAAATTTGGCTACTGATTCTTTTACCAAATTAGCCAAAT